CCCCCCAGCCACAAGGCAGAGCAACGCCACCACCGCGCTTCGGGAATACCAACCCGACACTACGTAACCCCCCCCACCGCCCTCCTTCCCGGAGAGGGGGGGAGGGGAGCAGGAGAGCGGCGCCGCCCGATTGGGCAAGCTGCGAGGAGGGTCGAGCATAGCAAGACCTTGATTGGTTGCTCCAGCACGGGGCGGGGAAGTCAGCGCGGGGATTGGAGGCGGAGGCTGTCGGTTTGAGCAAGACCCGCCTCCTGGCTGAGGGGGTGGGCGGGAAGCTGGGGGCTCTGCGGCGGCCCCGGTGTCGCCTCAGCGGGGAGAGTGGCGGGAGTGCGGCCCAGCGTGGCTGCCTGGCCAGTCGTGTGGCTGCCGGGCAGGGGGGTTTCTCGGACCTTCCGCCCCCCCCCAGGATGTCCCATAGCCCCTCCGCAGGCCGAGCAGCCCCGAGCTGGCATTGGAGCGTGCGGGGCTGGAGCGGGCTGGCTGAGGGGATGGCAGGCTTCGGCCCCTGGAGCCTGCAGTCGAGGTGTCCCTGCCTGGGCTGAGGTGATGGGAGAGGCAGCCCTGACAGACGTCGTTTCTCAGCGTCCTCTTCAGCGCTGCCCCTTGACAGCCAGGACCCCTTGCCCTGTCCTTGTCCCAGTGCCTTCCCTGCCCAAGCGGCTCCCGGTGACCTCCAACGGGTACGTCCCATGCGCTGCAGGCGTGCTGCTCTTCAGACAGCGCTGCCTCACAAACGCAGCGGTGTGGCCACCCCGTCCTCACTCTGCGCCTCCAGGTACCACACAGTGGGCCGTGGGTCAGGCTGACCAGCAGCGTCTGGGCTGGCTGGCCTGGAGCGGGAGGGAGGCCCCGGCACTGCACACCCCTGCGGGCAGCGCCAGGCAGGGCCAGGAGCTGGAGTCTCATCCTCCGTGTGTGAGATGTGGCAACCAGTTAAACACATCTCTTCATCAAAATGGCTCCCTGTTATTATGTGCTGCTGCCGTGTCCTGTGCTGTGGCTGGGATCCCTGGTTAGGCAGGATTCCACCGTTTAAGGGCAAGCAGAACAAAATGTCTCTCCTTGTCCTGAAGGAGTCTGCAATCATCAACATGATTTGCCTATTTTTTAAAGTTAGGGATGTGCCTAAGAGTCTCTACTCCAGAGAAGCTGAGGCTTATTGGGAGGGACTTTTTCCAAGGCTGATTTGCATGTCTGGCAAAGCTTGGATGAAAGCCTGGGAGTCCTTGCTCTCTTTGCCAGGCTTTGATGCCCAGACTCCTTGCCTTTAATCTTCGCCATCTATGCAGACAATATCAGAGCTATCAAATAATTCTACCACAATGTGAGTCTTTAAAAAAAACATCTGCTAGGAAAAGTACACGGCAACGTACTTGGATAAAAGTTAAAAACTGGATTAAGCCAAATGCGTTGCTATGATTCTTGCTTACCAGGTTAAGCAGATACACAGACTTTGGGCTGGGAAAACACTTCATATTGGTACGGTGAAACCATTGCAGGAGATAGCAGTCTTCCCACAGAGCAGGGTTTGTGGAGGCTGCTTTTAAAGGTAGGGCTTGAATCGTTCCATCAATGGATATCTGGTGTTTTCAAGGCCTCGAGACATTGCTAGAGATGGGCTGGGTGTTTTTGCTTTCTGTTTCTCAGTTTATTGGGAAAGAGCTCAGCTAAATATTTAATATTTGCCAAGCTGGGTGCTCCAATGCTGGAAGCATCTGAAGAATCCAGCCCTGTCCCTCACACTTCTCATTCCCTGAGCATACCAGTAACAGACGTGTCGATCTTTCGCTTCCATCACTAGGTAAAGGACAAACGATCTCTCTGTGGTGTGGGAGGAGGCCGTGTGTTACCTGGTATGATTCACTCTGATAAATAACCTCCTCCTCGGACTTCTCTTGTTTATAGCAACAGCCCCAAATGCTAAGGTTTACAGAGATTTTAATCCTTGCTGTTCTCACGCATATTTACTCTGCACTTTTATCAGAAACATCTCTTGAAAACCTCAGTGTTTTTATAATTAATTGAATAATGTGACTGATGTTAAAAATAAATGGATTTGGAAAAATGCCCAGTGAGCTGCTGAACAGTGCGTAATATAGCAACCGTAGCTGGATTCTCAGGGGTATGTATATTTTCCTAACAAACACAGTCTCATGACTTAGAGATTAAATCTTTATTAGTTCAAAATTCACCCTGTTGATTTTTCTGTGTTTATGCTGCATAATTGTGTCTGGACAAATTCACATTTTTTAAAGGGACAGTGCTCCTCCGAACGCGCGCCCTGCTGGGAAGGGTGTCAGCGTGGGTGAGTCTGAGCCCCACGGAGGCACCACAGAGGGAATGTGAGCGTAGGGTATCTCCGTCCATCCACCATCCCTCTGGCTTTATATTATTTTCCGATCCAGGTCCAATCCATTCACTAAGGGGCCGTGTGTGTGAACAGGGCGCTCTGATATATATTAACTCTGCTTACCCCAGACTCAAATGCTGTTGATTTCTCTTCTACGACCACGGCCCCGCCGTGCCCACCTCACCTCTGCTCCGTGAACCTCAGCCACGTCCCTGCCCCATGCTCTCCCTGACCTAAGCCTTTCCTGATGCCGCTCCCCAGTGCCGCCACCACTTCCTCAACTTTTGCTGGCTCAGGGCATCGTCTTATCAGTCTGGGATAATTTATCAGCTTGGGCTCTGCAGTTAAGTCTGGGCCTCACCTCTGCTATCACGGAGGTGTGTCTCGCCGGCCAGGGGCTGGGATCTCTACGGTCTGCTCACCTTGGGGCTGTGAGTGAGCAGTGACAGAGATGGCTGTTCTTGCCTCCTCCTCACTCCCCACTTCGAGGACCGAGGAAAAGCAGCGGGGAAGAAACAAGGCAAGATAAATTCAGAAGGAGCAAAACTCAGTGAGGTGAAGCGGGATAGATTCTGTAACGCGTTTGGTGAGCCGTCAAATCCTATCTCTTATCCCATGGGAATCCCAGATAGACGAGCAAATCATCAAGCCCTGAAAACTACATCATCAGCATCTTCCTCTGGAAAACATCATCACGCTAATCCATTTGTCCCAGCAGCCAAATGATTAAAGTTTGAAAACTAAATTATACACGTTGCTGCAACAGCATAAATGCAATAATGGCTCTCCTCTGTTACACCTGTAACCTCTGTTAGAATGGCTTTAATGAGCTTTCAGCCTCGTCACCCAAAAAGAAAAGACTATCACGCGATGCTTTATGCTATAAATGTGTTCTTCGCGCTGCTGGCGGCCAAGCACCTGCAATGCACTCGCTCTGAGGAGCTGCACGGGAGCTGCGGGCCGGGCCCCCGCAGTGGGTGGGTGCCTTCCCCGGAGCTGGGGGGGCAGACCCAGGCCGGGGAGCTCCCGAAATGGGGCAGGGGGTGCAGGCCCCCGGGGCAGGACACCGCAGCGGTGTGAGCCCTGTCTGTAGCGTGCAGGCTGCTGGAAACCTTGTGAGGGGAATGGGTATCTACCCCCATTACATAGGATCATCCTTTGGTGTGGAGTTATTCCAAGCTTGCATCTTCTGAGCTTAATTTAATAACAGGCTGCGAGCTCTACTTTGATCTGCCTGTGTTTTTCACTGGCTCCATATTTAACTGAATTCATCATCATAAAGGCCAGAACTGTTTCACTTTCCGTGCTAGGCTGGGTTTCCTGTTGGATGTGCAAAGGACACACCTGCACGGTGGGTTTCTGGCCTGCCAGGATGGGGGATCCTGTTATCCAGAGACAAAGGGAGCACAGGAATCTGGAGTCGGTGGATTCCTTTCCTCAAGCATGTGGCCAGACCTGAAAATCCAGCTGCCTGGCTTTTTTTGTTTACTGGTTTCCGTATCTGCTCCAGTGTGTCCTGGGAATGTGCGGCAGAACTCTCCGCTTCTTTCTGGGAGGCCTGTCAGTGGAACGGGAGTTGGTTTGCCCCTTCCAAAATCTGCAGACTGGAACCCACTTTGCCTCGAGGCTTGTTGTGTTTATTAAGCGTTTATTAAGCGTTATCCTGTGTCTGTATCCCAGGTGTCACCTTCAGCGCTCTCACGGACAGGAGACTTGCTGGCCGTGGGCTCTCCCACTGCTTCCATGCTTCTGGCTGCAGCCCCACAAATGCTGCTGTTACCCCAAACGCAGCAGAAACAACCGTAAGTCTGTGGTTCCCACTGGACACGGCAACATCTAATTTGGGATCCCAGGCGGTAGAGGTAGCAGAAACTGTCCCTGCTGGGGCTGGGCTTCTGCCTTGGGTTAATCACCTTGCAGGGCTGGGACCCAAGGGCTCATGAGCCCAGTTTACAGGTGATGTGGGCTTCATTCCTGCTCGCAAAACGCAGCCTGGAAGCTGTGACGATCATTTGTGTGAAGCTTCTTGTCGGATGCTTTCAAGAAAGACAATCTTAAGTGCTTCAATTTTCATACTTAACAGACCACACTGTGCTGACAGTACCTGCCGGCAATAATCTCTCAGATGGCAACAGGAAAAAAACACAAAAAACACAGAAGAATGCTTGGCCAAAACAGGCTTGACAAACTTTAAAAACATGCTGGAGGAGGTAAAGGTAATTTGGGTGAGTACGCAGATGATATCATTCTGTCCCTCGGCGGGGATCTGCTCCCAGAGCTGCGATGTACCTATGGCAGCGCACTGTACTCGTGGGATACTGACACATTTACGTGTGGTCTTCTAAAAAATCTTAAAACCTGTCCCTTTGCTTATAATTAAAGAAGTCATGTGGTTTTCCATCTTGTGCCTGCCCATTTGGTTCTGCAGTGAACTCATCCCAAAGAGAGACGTGAGCTCCCGACGTCTCAGCGTCCTCTGCCCGTGTTTGCGGGAAGCAGAGGGACCCGGTTTGTGTTCCCAGGAATCCTGACTTTTCTAGGGATACTGGTGTTCCTCATCGCTGAGCTCTGCCCATTGAATTTCTTCCTCTCCGGGCTCTCAGTCCTGAAAAGATTCATCAGCGAGAGGAGCAAGCAGGATCACAAAAGGTCTGGACGACGAGGGTCATTTCTGGGACCGTCCTGCCAGGGCCCTGCAGTGCGAGGTACTTTGCTGCAGCTCAGGATCCCCGCGCCTTGCCCCGTTGCGCAGTGCCATCTCCTGGAAAGCCATGCCTGAGCTGCACGCATCACGACCAGAGTTTTGCTCCTGAAGCAGCTACTGGCGCTGCAGGCAGCTTGACCGCTGCCTCCAATTGCTGCAAAGTTCATCTGCTACCCACCAAGAGTCCCCCACCAAACTTCTCGTCCTCCAGCAGGTACGAAGGATGCCGCTCGCCCTCACCTCTGAGGTACCCTGCGGCAGAACATCCCTGTGTGGCTCTTTCCTGCTCTGGATACTGAATCCAAATCTCTAGGTACGAAAAGAACAGTAGAGGACCACAAACGAACCTCTACAGATGTTACTCCTTAGCTTTTGTCCTGTTTGGGCACCAGTTCCCTGCTCAGTTGAATGCCCTGCGTATATGTTTGCCCTGTGAGGGCCCTGTTTACCTGTTTCTCCTGGTTTTGACTTTAAGGGACACTTTTCTCTCTCCCTCCCCAAGTTTGATGACCTCGTCATGAGCAACAACCAAGCCCCTCATCGCACTGCTCACCCTGTATTTAAAATGTTGCTGCACCTTTTTAATGAGACAAAAATGCATGCGCGGAATTTGCACCTGAACGCTGCTGGCTTGACTAAGCTCTATATTTACCCTGAAAAGACAAGAAAAATGGGTGGTTCCAAGGGCAACATGTTTACTCCTGTGAAACAGTAACACAGCTTAAGTGCTTAGTCACTGAAAAAACGCACACTGCAATTTAAAGCCAAAGGCTGGTACTTCATCCATCATTTTAGGGTATTGTGGCATCTTCTGAGCAGTTGGGAGATTAGTATGCGTTGGTAATCTGCCATACACGATGAAATAACTAGTGCTCCAAGGTAAGGGTGTAAAAGCTGCTATTTGAAAAAAAAAAAAGACTATAATTATGTAAATACAAGGCCACAAACTTAACAAACGAGAAAAAGCTACCATGACATGTGGCTGTTCACAGCTTTCTTTGGCCCTTTCTCAGCGAGGAGTCTCTGTTGCAAACTTGTTGTCGTGAACTCATTTTTGCCCCGGAGCATGCTGATGAACTGAAACAGCCTGTTTACCAAAAACGTATTTTTTATTAAAATTCATATTTGTAAAGAAGAGATCATTACACAAATGAGGTAAACCAACACATATGACATAGTTTTCACTTTAAAAATAAATTTCAATTGAGCGATTGATTTGATTCCACGAAGTCTGAGAGGCAGAGTCAGGCGAGTGTTACTCATGTGGCGAGATGCCGCACGCGGGGGGAAGGCGCAGCTGGTGCCGCCCTGACTCAGCGCAGAGATGTCAGTGCCAAAGGGTCGGGAGTCTTCCAGGGGCCAAACCCTTCCCACCGCGCTGTCCTTTTCTACCCCGTCAGACTTGCAGACGAGAGGAGATGAGTAAAGGCCAGAGACAGGCAGCGGTAGCCTCTTCACCTACTGCTCTAACCAGGGGTCCCCCACCAGCATCTCCCTCCCAAAAGGCTGTGTAAGGGTTTAATTTGATTGTGCAAATTCAGTCCCTCATCAGCTGTTGCTCACCACGCCTCAGCCCTAAAGGAGACTTAACAGCAAGCAAATACCAGCTCTGAAAAAGTTCCATTTCAAAAGTAGTATCTGGCAAGCAACAAGCCCGTTAAATGTGACACGCTTGGCAAGGTACGGGGAGAAGAAGAGTTATGCTTCCTTCTTTTTCTTCTTTTTTGTTGAAGTTTGCTTCCATGGATGTGCAAGTGGAGCTTTTAATCCAAAAGTTTATGAAGTTACTGCAAGTCTGTGAGAATCATGTTCACCATCCTGTGAAATTAAGCTTCCCCACTGAGGACCAAGCCCCACAGCCTGAACACCTCAAAGAAGAGAAAAGTGGCTGCAAATGTTGTTTTACCCTGTATAATGGTAAGAAAATAGTGAGGTGAACCTCAGACCTGTTTCTCAGAATGCCACTCGAAGCCAGCTAGCAGACTAACAAAGAACGGCTGTACTCGCTTCCAGCTCCTAACAAGTACGGAACAAATGCCACCGCCACAGCAGAACCAAATAACACTCCAAAATTCACTCAGTTAAAACCGTGGCTGACAAACTCCTAAATGTTGGGAATTACTGTGCGGCTGAAGCTCTGGAGTCCAGGTCCACTTTGATGGATGAAGGTATTACGGAGGTAACAAACTATGCAGAGGAGACAGAGATGGAGTTTCACCTGTTACACCCACCTGAGTGAAACTCATCCAGGCCCTTGTGTATTAACTACGCTGAGACAGGTAACGTGTCGCTTCCGATACGTATCCCAGGACAGTATCTGGTAACCAAGACATGAAATTTTCATCACATCTGCCAAGCTTAAAGTGAAATTTCATGACCGTACGCAGATAGAGCATGAGGTGAATGCACTGTTTTAATCCCATTTATAACCTTGGGGGATGCGGGTGGGATTTAAACTGTATGTAGGCTTGGTGCTGGTCTGCATGGGCTGGATGTCACGCTCTGAGAGCGGTATCCGTAACTCTCGGTGCAGCGAGAAAATTGTACCACATCCAGTACCCCATTTCCAGTAAATGCTTTCAGCAAGAGACAGAAATGCATTCACTACCGTGCACTACAGTTTATGATAACTGTACCTTGGCAGCTGCAGTACTGTGATATCACAAGAAGACTCTCCACGTCAGAAGTCAGTTAAAGGCTATAGATCGAGAGAGAGAGAGAGAAAGAGAGAGAGGTGTCATACTTAGGAGAGTTTTTTCCAAACAGAAATAAAAAAGTAACTGTCTTTTTTTTAAATAAATCTATTATTTGAGGGACTAAAGCAACCGATGTTAAGTTCCTGGTTTATTACACATCCTGCTACGGCTCTGCATGATGAGTCTGAAAAGGCAGATTAGCATAAGATTAACAGAGAAAGAAAGCTGTTTAGGCTCAGCAAGACTCCAAGGTGAGCCATTTCACATTGACAAGAGCTAGCACCCCTCGCTGCCGGTGTCCACCGGCAGCACGGGCAGGTTTTTTCCAAGAGAGACATCCCATCACTGTTTCTTTCACTGGATCATGCCATCTTGCTGCCCCGTCTGGCTGGGGTCAGCGGTGACCGATGGACTGGGTGTATTGCTCTGCAAAAATCGACGGAAGTCCTTAATCATGGGGCGGAGGACCTGGATGAGGGCACTCAGTGCCGCCTGTGTTCCTTCCATGGCTTGTGCCTGTCGCTCCTGGGCGCATGCCTGCACCTCCTGAGAGCGACGAATCATCTGAAGCAAGTCATTCTGCTGCTCCAGGTGCTGGGCAATCTCCTTCACGTGCAAGTTGGTCACTCGCTGCTCCTGCAAGAGCTTGGCTGAGTTCAGGGCAATTCGGCTTTTCAGCTCCTGGGGTTTCGCAGACACTTCGTGTTGATGCGCCATCATCTCCAAGGGTGCTTCAGCGGTGACTGTGGTGGGCGCTTCTGTTGTGCAGTACTCCACGACTCCATCCTCCAGACTGTGGTAGGTTGTCTCTGCAGGAACTGAGAACAAAGGACAGAAAGGGGGTAAGAAGTAGCTGCGATACCGGGATTTTTATCTACAGGACTATTCAATGAGTATCACAGGAATACTGCCTGTTCAGTGAGATAACATACAATGAACAGCAATGCACAAAATGACCTATTTAAGTCTACTCCACCCTCATTTGAGCTTCCTTCTAGGCTGCACAGTCCAACGGAATAGGGCATGCCTTATCTGTCTAGACAAAGTAATTTCTCAACCTCCAGTTCAAAACAATCTTTCTAAGCGGCATTAACCACCTGACATAAGGGCAAAGACAAGACCCAGAATGGCACTTGTCAGAAGGACAGCTGCTCTTTGGGGCAAACTGGGAAATCAGCCTTGGAGAGGTTTCTCCCCCTGCTTTTGTCCCCAGAATGGGACCGAAGAAGCTGCACGGTGCAAAGGATACTGCCTTCCCTTGTTCTTAAGGCCGAGCTGACTTTCAGTACGTGCGTATCTTGCAGCCCTACTGCATGGGGACATATTGGGAATGGCATTTTCATTACAGAGACGCGGGGGTTTCTTTTTGCCGGGGCTTTCCCCGTACAGGGCTCAGGGCCTCCTCGCAGGCGGGTGTCTGGGCCCCCCGTACGACCTTCCAGTTCAGCACAGAGCTTCTTCAGCAGGCGCAGCACTCACTCTGGGTCAGGGTGACCGTGGTGGCTGATGCGGTGATGGGTATCTCGGTCCCGTCACCTGCACTGCAGTCCCCACTCGGCAGACTGATGATGGTGGCTTCTCCCAGCAGGTTGCAGATGCGTTGCTGCATGGGGGTGAGGATAACGGGGGCAGTCGCAGCGCCCGTCGGGTCTTCGCTCTCCGGCCCGTTGCCGTTGCCGTTCTGGCTCTCGCCTCCCCCTTCCATGGCAGCCCGGACCTGGGCCACTTTGCGTCGCACCTCAGTCTTGAGGTCGGACCATTTCTTCTTGACCTCGGGCAGCTCGCGGTGGCAGGTGGCGACGGCGTTGACGCGGCGCAGGATGTCGTGCCAGGCGGCGGCCTTGGCGGCCAGGGGCACGCCCGCGTTGAAGTGGTTGATGAGGAGGTGCTTGCCTCGCTCCAGCTCCTCCACGATGATCTCCACCTCCCGCTCCGAGAAGTTCATCTTCCGCTTCTTGGCTGGGGGCGCCGGGGGCGACGCCATGGCCATGAGGGGC